GTAGCGTGCTCGTGGGACCACGCCTCTTTTTGGCGCGCCCAACTCTTGCACAACATGGGGCAAAATTGTCCCTAAAAGCAGTTTTCTATTAAATTTTTGACCTTGGCAATATCCAAAATTTGACCGCAGGCTTTCATATCATACATTGTTGAAAAGAGAATTGAACTATGGGAAGGGAACTCGGACTCAAAGGGAAACATGGTGAAAACTCCAGAAGATTGTACAATAGAATTTTAGCTTCACCCTCTCTTCGTATTAGAAAACTATGAAGAGATGGAGAATGGCTGGCCGCTAAAAATCTTCAGTCTGATAATACAAAATCCCAGATAATATGCCGCCGAACTAATTGCCACACTTGAAATTTTGTGTAAATAAGCTCCTAAAAAACACTTCTGTTAACAGTGCTAGACATAGATATAATGAAGCTTGCTAATAATTACTAGATGTTAGAAATGTTACAAATGCGCAAAGAAGAAGGTTTGAGATGGCACCCACCGGCGGGGTGCCGTCGTCGCCAAAGGGTTGAAAGATCTCTCACATTTCTTATTGGTTACATTACGACACATGATGGCAATGACTTCAACATTAGGTGCACGATTTTGGCTCACGAGACCGAGATTTCGTCAAGGAAGGCATTGGAAGCATTTTGGATTTCAGCCAGAAATCCAGAAATGAATAACCGAAATGAGTGTGTCTCCATCACAAATGATCTCTTGCCATTCATGCAACATTGCGAGTTTCTTGCATAATCAGCGAACGTGCTTGTCCGATATACTGATACAGTATAAGGACAGCAAAGTAACATCATTCGCTACTAATGTTTACTAACTGAGTGTAGTATTTCGCTACACTTCGCGGTGGAACAAGGTGAGCTTAGCTTTTGTGTTCTGGAGTTTTCCGTGCGTCCCTGACAGACGTCAGAAACGCTAGAGGGGAGGAGGCGTTTGATAGGGTAGTGTGCACTTCTAAGCTTTGAGCCATGTTCAGGCCTTTGAAAACGACGGAACGGTCGAAACGTTGGCCAGAATGAAATCTCCACCTAGACAACCTCAAAAATGGGTTGTCCAGAAAATCCTGCGACACTTTGTCCAAGATTTTTGACTGTACCTTTTTTGTTGAATGGGATATTCAATCAGCACGGTTATCACCGGTAGCACGTAGGAGACGTGTACTTTTTCTGGGCAACTTCTCAACCCTCTTACTTTAGAAATCCGGCGTTTGCTTCGAAAAGAAGCGCTTCATCCAATTTTCGAGGTGACCTCAATCATTGGATTTTTTCTCTTCGAGGTAGCGCTTCAGTGTACTAATTACGCAAATTTAGAAACGACTAAGCACTGCAGAATTTCCCGATCAAAATCCACGATCTCTTCATGTGTAATCCTTCGCCACATACAGATATGGGTTAGGGTGGGGTAACACCGTATCGAGAATTTCTGCGTGATTTGACGCATGGCTTCGGCCAAATTTCGAAGGTTGTTAAAGCCGACAATGGTCGTTACCCTGGTGCAGGTATCCAGCAGCTTTCTGTAGCGAATCAGTTTGCAACCTCATCAGAAACACTAAAAAGTCCTTCTTGACGAAGGCCTGCTTTTGTTCCTGCGGGCAGCTTTCCTCCTTGTCGAATCCAGTAGTGCTTATGTGTATAGTTTAGTCGAGACCAGCCACGGATCTCTTTCACTGAGGGTCCTCTCTCACTGAAAGATCTTAAAGTCGAGACCAGAGTTACCGTTTCTAGCCTCATTTGTCAAAAGATTCCTTCGATGCGAAAGAAGAAGAGAAATCTGAATCATGGTCACACGGTTCGCCTCCCCAGACTGGCGCAACCCATGTGGTGTCAATGGCGAACATACTGATCTGTAACCGAGATCGTGCAGATCCTCGACAATTGTCGAATGAATGCACATAAGCGTTGTTGTTAACCTACTACTGGTACCAACCGGCTGCGCCTCTTGGAAGTTGAGTAAACGCTTGTCAGTCATCGTCTACTGCCGTCCAGCTCCGTGCCCCATTTCGAACAAAATATCTCCAGTTGCGAGGGAACAAGGCCAACGGGACACCATGGCCTAGTGAATGACATCCCTCCTGACTACAGCACAGATGCTAGCTGCAAGGACACAAACGGGTGGCTTTACAGGAGCTCGAAAAATAAAATAGGTCAAAAGATGTGTTGATTCAGAGACAAGTTTGAAACAGTTAAACGCCTGCACGTAGCCTCCATTTACGCTTCTGCCGAAACCTCCGAAGATACACTGCAGCAATCAAATACCAAAACTACTGGAGAGTTTGACCTTTCCCTAAAGAACTTTGTTTCAAAAAGTCGCAACGGTTTTCTGGACTATAACAAACTCACATTACGCATAACAACAGAGACTGCCGAATTTTGAAGATGCGAGAATTTGGGAGTCCAAACAATGTTTCACAAGAATGCTGGACTGTGAACAAAACTTTCCGAAGGATCAGAACAGAACTAAATTCTGATACACTTTCACCATCTTCTGAGACGATTTGTTCTGCAACCTGTGTTACCTGACAAATAGCGGCCACGTAGGTATGTCGAAAAAAGGTATGAGGCTCCTGCTTTTAAAATTCGCCACATCCGAAACTAGTGAATTCCACTGTTAGTTTCCTCTTTCCAACTCCCAATTAAGGGTCAATCAACTTTCATCTGCTAACGTCTTGGCAGCATTACACATCTGAACTGGGGGGCTCTGGTACATATCGACAAGCGTGACGCTGTCTCTAGTCTCCCGGATGCTACTTAGTCCTCCAATTCGCACTACAACAAGTAGTCTTGATAATCACTTCTGAAATGATGCAGTAGTTCTTTCCGCCGGTCAGGGAAACCCGGTAAGCCGGATTAGCTACAAGTCGGTGCTGTGGGACAACACATTTTGTTAGAAACTAGTGCCTCTATAAAACCTGACATCTTCAGACATTTCGCTTGAAATTGCTAAAATTCATCGAGGGGAGTGGTCCTATAATATAAACGGAATTTCGTCGCTCAGCATACCATCTGGTCCTTTCATCATGCTGGCACCTCAAGCATTAGGGCACGTTGGAGGCTATTCGTAACCAGTTAGGGCAGCTACGTCATCTGCCGAAATTTGTGACTCTTTGCGCTCTTCTTCTCCAGTGCAGACATCCGCTGCTGTTCAGAGCATGTTCCTTGCAACAGGTCGTCTAATTAGAAGAGGATAAGATAACTGGCAGCAGACGATGATGTTGGCTGATAAAAGTTGCTTATCAACATCGTGAAGAAATTGAAAGAAGGAATCAAGAGTGGTATCATGCTGAGATTCAGGTTTTTCCTAAGCGGTAAAGGAGAGCTTCTAAATAGTTTACAATTAACAAAGCCTGGATCAACCATCTCCTTGTGCTGAAGGATCTCTATCGTATACCGCTCAAAAGATACATCGTGAACAGTTACAGCCTTTCATCGCGTTTCAGCAAAAAGGCACTCTCTATGCCATAACAACTTTGCTGTCGCGCTTACTGGCGTAGGTTTCAGTGGGCTTTCGTCATCAACATAAGCAAGTACTAACTATGTACTAACATAGCCCCGAAGATAACGTAGTTCTGAACGCAGACGCTCAGCTAAGTTGATGCTTTCTGTAAGCCGGAGCAGCCCTTCAGTAAAGAATTTTCAGGGAAAAGTGAGAAAATGAAGGCAAGGCATGGGTTAGTCGTGGCCCATAGATTGGTCAATTCCACTGAGGCGTACTGAGTCATGCGTGCAGCAGAGTGCGGGGGCTGAACCAGTGAAGAAGATTTGGTGGGGCTCCATATGCGTCACAGCGATCTATTAATAGCTCTCTTGAACAATTCTTCGGACGTTTTCCTGCCAATATTGAATTGACACTGGTTGACTAATAATTAATTATTCGGACTGCTTTGATTAGGCATTCTTCTATAATGCCAAATTTGAGCATTCTTTTCTTTCGACGCAACTAATGACGTGACGTGAAGTTGAGCTTGCCTCATTTGCGACATTGGAAACTCTCCAGAAAGCCTGCCATTATTGATAGTGACTAAACCTTAAATTGAGAAGTTGCTGTCATACGTTGAGAAGATGTTGTTGCTGGCCAAATATTATATAGTTGGGCAATAATCAAACAGGCTAACAGATGCATCCGAAATTCGTCATCGTCATCCTTTCCTTCGTACCCCTTTGCCAAGGCTTTCCTTTTGCAACTAAGCAGTCAGTAGCAGTTACGGGCATTATTAAATGTAGTCTATGGCCGGCAGTAAACGTTACGGTTCAACTGCACGATTTGGAGATCTGTGAGTTATTCCATGGCAATGCGTTCCTCGAAGCTGGGCCTCGCGTCGCAGGCTCTGTGACCATGCTGCAGCTGATAGCCTCACGCCACTTATGATTCAAGTGTGAAGTAGCAAATTGCAGTTGTCGATGAAAAGCTGGATGAAGGTCGAACAGACAACAACGGACGGTTCCGTCTATCAGGATCTAAGTACGAGTTCAGCAACATTGATCCACAGCTCACAATCTACGGCAACAAGTGCAACTACATTGCGGTAAGTGCTTTCCGAATGGGGAACGAAATAATCTTTCTGTAGAAATATCCTATCAACTCTGAAAAACAGAACTAAGCTATTAGGTACCGGATATCTTAGTGTCGCTTTTCTGAGTTCAGGAAGTTTTGGGGCCGATTACTATGGAAAATCAATATCTCAGAAGTCCTTTTTGCTCATTAATACTGCGAAATATGTTGCTTATTGTTTTCTATTGTTGGTTCACAATTTAACTTTCCCCCAATTTTTATACTTTTTTTTGAAAATTCCTGGGTCCAGTGTGCAAATTCGCATGTGTGTACCAAATGCTTCAAAATTCTTGCTGAGAGCTACAACTTCCGCCCACCAAACCAACATTGCATTTTTGGAGGGAATACTACCATTCAGAATGCTCTATTGTGTCACATTCGCGGTCGGTTTCACACGCCCGGATAGCGAAAGCGCGGTCGTTCCAACGCGTTCACGAAAGTTGACTGCACAAGAAAATCTGCTACTAAATGTGTGCTCAAAAAGGGTGCGTTTTTGACCCCATGTGGCAAAAAAGACCTAAAAAAAATTGTCCAGTTGAGCTGGTAAGTTCTAACTTTTCCACCATACAGTGCAGACCCTACTCTAACTAACTGTATACTTCTTTTGTCCAGGCCTAACTTTTTAGCAAGTGAGAGGGATGATTTGTCAGATGATGTCAAAACCGACCTACCTCTCTTTTTCGACTCAAAAAATTCCTAGCTTTAATCGTACGAGGTTTCCACTCATACTGGTAAATGGGAAAGGGCTAATGAGTCATTTGATGTGCGATGCTCCCGTATTCTGAATTAGAATATTGGTGGTCCGAAACTCATGGTGAAAAAACGACACTAACATATCTGGTACCTAATAACACGTCCAGTTGATTAAGTCGTGCCTTATGTCCAAAAACTGCTCAACACTTACCTTGTAGGCTAGCGTGTTTATTCTAAAGGATAAAGGGCATTTCAGGATAAAGCTGTACCGACCAACTCTAGAAGACTGTTGGAATCCTTCGCAGTCTCGGTTCGATTTCCGGGTTCAAAATTGCAAGACAGGGACCAAATTCACTCGAACACTATCGCGTGGAAAAGTACCTCGCGATAGTGTTCGATAAAGGGGCTTGGTAGACAATATAGAGGGTCTTTGTCGCTTACTATGTATTGGGTTGGAACATAACATCCTAGCGCTCGCATTCGAAAAAAAAATTCTTCCCTTAAATGAATGATTTTTTATTCAACTTTTAAAAGTAAGGCCAAGCACAAAACTAATCAGTGATATTCTCTGTCAGTATTCACGACTTTGATTCCATTTTGCAAACAATCTACCTTAAAGGACGAATTCACGATGAAAAAGCAACCCATTTCAAATTAACCTAGGGATGGTGAGTGGTACACGAAAGAAGGAAGAACCATGAGAAACGGCCCAGAACCCGAGAAATGGACCCCTTCCTTGCCCGTTGATTCGAGCATTGATGCGACTCTCATCGCTGTGCCCTCTTCAACACTACGCTCTCTCAGCTATCTAATCACTCGCCACGTATTGAACTACGGCGAGTGATCAGATGATCGGTGGGCGGAGATCGCCGGACCCGCCAGCTTTGAGGCATGATAGGTCGCCGAGGTCAAATTTTTCCATGCGAATTGCGCGTCAGTTCGCACCCTCAGGAGGTCCGTGGGTCCCTCAACTAGGTCAGTTTCCCTTTCTTCGACCTTCATTCTAATCGTGAAATTCTCTCCTTTAAAGCAAAGTCGTGGCTTCAACCACTACTGAAGCCTTAAAGATGGCTAGCCAGTGATAAAGTTTGCTAGTGCAAAGTACGCCACTTTCTGCATTCTGACAGCGTATTAGGACCCTAGGCGCCATGAACTTCTAACACTCTCACCAAACATAACATGGTCCGCCCACCGATCGATGTCTTGTCTGCGTCGCTGCGTTGATCTGCTATGCTCTCTCTTCTCGAATTCTCTACCCCCTCTGCGCTCACATTATCTCTCATCTCCCTGCCTGTCTTTTGAACTTCTCCACAGCATAGAGCAAAATGCTCGTATTTCCTGTGTATTTCAGGATTTTCTTTCCTTTTTTCTCCATTGGCGGTCCACCTCCCCCCCTACTTTCACATTTGAGTGGAGCCACCCGATTTAGAGGATCCGTATAATCCTGGTTCCTCCCTTAATTGGAATCAAAAGCATGAGCACTTTTAGAGACTTCATATTCTAATTTGTAAGCCGTTGAGTTAATTGAAATTTGTGTTTGCAATAGAGGTAAAGTTCGTGAAGTTGTTGGATTCTGAAGAACTCCTATTTTCATTCTTCATATAGATTTTGCTGCCACCGTGATTTGCCAAATTCTAAGCATCGTATCTGAATACAGTTAAGATATAGAAGAAAATGACAAACAAAGTATTGTGAGCAAGACGTACTTTCACCCATGATATCTCTGTTTCTCGCGTAAATAATAATTGTATTCGACTTCCTTTTTAACAATAATTCTTTGAATTTTTTTTGAATGAATCAGCGAATCAGAAGCGCGGCAAAGGCGTGGCGCACACCAAGGCAGGGGATCTTAGTTGCAAGCGCATGCTCGAAGCTTTCTAACACATCCTATGTTCAATAGGAATTGCTTTCCCTGGAGGTTACGGCCAGTGAAACCTTAAAAAGTCGCGCGTTCTCAAGGAAATGGATGAGAATGCCCTTCCAAAGTAGTCGCAACGGGACTAAGTTTTTCAACTGCTGATTTTTCAGGAACGTTCGGGTACTTTTCAGAAAGCATGAATCCTGTAGTTTGTCATTCCGCGCCTCGCTTATCAAAACCAATGACGTTGAACAAATCAAGATCGTTTGAAGAATGAAAAATCGCGATTCCAGAGAACTGCTGATTTGTCAGGAACGTTCGGGTACTTTTCAGAAAGCATGAATCCTGAAGTTTATTACACTACACTACACTAAGTTCAGCTTTCCAAATCGGTGATGAAAAAAGTTATGATCGTTTCAAAGGTAAAAAGTCGCATTTGCACAGAAAAAAGTAACAACGTACTAAATTTTTATTAAATTAACTTTCGAAGAATTTTTACCCATGGTTGGAGAGAGAATAATTTGAATTTTCCAAATCAAATCACTTCGGCGCAGAAGCTCGAATAAAGCGACCATAGTCCCCCGCGTGTTTCGCATCATTCCTTTACTACCCACACCCATACTACCCGCAAACATATCACTATCAGTACACAACTGTTTTGTCTGACACCAGTCAAGAGGATAATAAGATTCTAAACCACATCCGACGACTGTGCTTTTGATTGAGGTCTCCTCCGACCTCTAAGATCATTCTCTGGCAAGCGTTGCAGAGTAGGTGTTGGGTTTGAACCAAAGAAGTGTGTGTTTTATTTAGTTATTCTGGATTCTTCCCAAAAGGAAAAGGAGTGCGGTGTTTCATTTAGTTATTTGTTTTTTGTCTAAGAGGAAAACAACCAGCAGTGTTTTGAAATTCATTGAAACCAATATCAAAGGTTTTAATAAAAAATTGGTGGCGTACATTCTGTCTGTACACAAGTATTTCATACAGGGGGTGTCGTATCACACATGAAGGGGGGTCGTAAAAAATTTCCCAAAAAGTACCAACGGTAGGGTTGACCCTGCATCAAAATGATCCAGCATTGCGAGCGTGTGACTCTGGTATTCTATGAGTTCCAAAAATTCGAATGTAAGCCACCCAAAGTAGAGAGCAATAGGAGGATGTAGTTCATAGATTAGCTGCCGTAGTTTCTGATCAGCAAAACATACTACAAGTACTGAGCTTTCTCTAGGGAATTCAACATTCGGATGAAAGTCTAGTTCAAGCTTTTCAGCAATTTATCATTGTCGCTTCCAGCTCCAAGCAATGCATTACGTGATTTATTATTTTTTAAACTTCAAATTGTATTTTATTCCAGTCGTGCTTCAAGACAGTACGTATCACTATTCCCGATGGATACATTACAAAAGGACCTGTTCCACGTTATACCTACGACATCGGAACTTTGAATCTTGCCAGGAAAGAAGATCAACCAGTGATGCAATGCACCAACTGAGCAAGTTCAAGAATGATTTGCTCACCGCGACTTTTAGTTACCATCAACAAAGACTGTGTGAAAAAGTGGAAATAAAACCGTCACTCGTAATAGATTGATCTACACACAATTAGTCACACATTGAATCACCCACCAAGGAATGAAAGGAGCGGCGACGTTTTTGCCACAATGTCTTTGGGCTTCGAATCTGAAACCGACCCATCTTTCACTGAAGCCGCCTCGTCCCAAGCGTGGCCATTGACGCTGGCGGCATCGTTATCATTACCGTTCAATTTCATTTAGAGGGCGTTTCGCGCCTCACCCTATCTTAAACTCTTTCCGCGTCTTTCATGCTGTCAGGACACACTGACCTAAATGGCCAGCATCTAAGCCCTATGCTCATTCAACGTCAACGGTGATAACGAGAGTCTCAATGGCATTAAGTCGGTTTCTTCTCCACTGAACACCTTAACATTCCCTACTTATATTTGATCAATTGTCACAGATGCTGGCTCAGATATGGAAGTGGTGGCTTTTTAATGCTACATTAAAAAAAACTGCACAAAAGCTTTGAAAAAGTTAGAAAAAGCTTTTTTACTTTCGGTTTAACGCGACTTTACCTGTAGAAGCAAGCGTAGTCTCCTGAAAATATGACCGACGATGTACATCCAGGGTCAAGCAAACTGTCGAGAAAAAATTGGAAACACGAGCCCCCCTCTCTCTCCCAGACGCCGAAGTCCATGGACCGACCCTCTTCAAAAGCCGAACTATTAAAAGATTTTTTAGTATGGTGCTGTCCCGAAGCCTCATAAAGATCTGAATGTTAAACAACAATTAGAGGCTCCAAAATTTATTTCAAAAAGCTTCAAAACACTTAATTTCGAAAGCTTTCCAAAAACTTGCAATATTTCGGTGCTTAGCACCTTCGTCAGGCCTGAAATAGCTTTTCTCACACAAGCTGGACAATATAAGCTTGATGCAGTCTCGCTCTATACCAACGTCAACACACGGGATGCAATTGAAGCATTGTTGGCCTTGTGGCAAAGGCACAGAGAAGAGATCTACACTTTTGGACTTGACGAGGATGAATTGAGAGATTTACTCAAGGCTACTCTGGAGTGCAATATTTTCCAATTCGATCGAAAAGTTTACGCTCAACATCGCGGTTTGGCAATGGGATTAAGAATAGCTCCACTGCTGGCAATTGTATATTTGGACCATTTGGAACAAAGGTCATTAACTGCTGGAATAATTTTCTACAAGAGGTACATAGACGACGTATTCATAGTCGGCTCCTCCTCTAATGAGCTGGAAGAAACACTTGATAATTTAAATTCACAAGATCCCAATATCAAGTTTACTGTAGAAAATCCAAATGCGGAAGGTTTTGTTCCATTCCTAAATACAAAGGTCCGAATAAGAAATGGGGCCACAGAGTTAGTTTGGTATAAGAAACCAGCATCAAAAAATGTGTTGCTGCACGCTAGGAGCTGCCATCCTACATACATGAAGGCCAATAGTGCGGAACCTAATCACCACCAAGGAGAAAATTTGTACCCAACAATCGGATGAAGTAGATTCGATGGTGGACAATATTCTAAGGGAGAACGGTTATGTTAAGCACCAATATATACATGGAGACCACACTCGACACCAGATGGAATATCCATGGTGATGCCGTATGTTAATGAAACACGGCACTGAAAGTGAACAGTGTGGTCAAAAGCTCACCTCTCCCGATACGATTAATATTCCGTCCGCCACCGAATCTCAAACGCCTGCTCACATACTCAAGGCCCTATGAGGAAAAGTGCGGCAGAGAGGGTTGTAGCTACTGTACTGACACCAAAATATGTCAGCTCAGAGGGGCGGTTTACTTAGTAGAATGTCAAGGGTGTGGGCAAAAATATGTCGGAGAAACAAAGAGACCTCTCTATAAACGGCTCGATGAGCACCGCAGGGCGCTTAGAAATCCACCGGCTTATCCTAATAGCAGTTTCTCCAGACATCGTACAAAAGAGCATGCACAAGAAGAACCCCCCATACTAGTAATTAAAGTGCTACACCGCTCAATAGAGAACACAGCAGAAAGGAAAATACTGGAAGCCCTTGAGATAAAACGATTAGCACCCGAAATAAACAGCAAGGAAGAGCTACGTGACATCCTTCAAATTGTCACATAGTATTAAAAC